TGCGTCCGTGCATGCCCCCAGCAGGGAGGCCGCCTGGTTTTGGCCCCCACGGCTTGCGGGGACGTTCCCAGAGAACCAGTTGTTCAGGAGAGTGAGAAGACAGGTCTGCGCCCTCTGGAGCTCCCTCCCCACGGGGGGCCGTGTCCTTCAGCATGTCACTCAGAGCCTCTGGGGCCGCTTAAAAATAAATGAGCCTTTTGGTTTGAAGTCTTTCTCCATGGAGGGCTTTTGAAAATCTCTTTGAACTTTTGTTTTGCTAGCAAACCTCCACCTTCACGGGTGTTCTCTTAACGCAGCCCTGTCATCCCCACCCCTGCGCCATCTCACGCTGAAGGCTCGGCCCTCGTACCCAGGGCAGCCGTGGCTGCTTTCGGGCTGTCACCAAGCGGGCTGCCAAGAGCTGCCTTCCTCCCCAGCAGAGCGAGCTTAGGATCTCTTCAGCCTTGCAACACTGAACTAAGTTGTCATTTCAGGGCCCACCACATGTCATCTTTCCCGTTTGTCTTCATTCTTGGCTCTCTGGTGGTCACAGGCCACTCCCTGTGTTGTGCTGGGGGGGAGGGGGGGGTTCGTGTTCGTTATGCTACATGCATCAGAGGTTCTCCTCCCTCTTTTTCCTGGCTGCTTTCCCCACCTCGCTCAGCATCAGTGTTGCTTCTTGCCTTGGAATTTGGTACCAGCATCTAGCAGACAGCCTACAGGTGACCTAGCAGTTTGGGGCGGCAAAATTCCACACAAGTCTTAATAAAGCTCTTTTGGTTTCCCTCAATGCCCGAACTGGGGAGGGGCCTCCGTATCCCCTGTGGTTTTTCCTCCAAGTCCAGTGTTGCTGGTGTGGCGTGTCACTCTATGGGCTAGGGAGCCCAGCCCCTTCTTCCCAGCCAGAGTTGTGACTCTGTGGCCAGCTGGGCCGCACTGCCTTGGAGGAGTTGGTTGGGTGGCACACAGGTGAGTTCCTTTTGGGGATGTCCGGAGCTGACTTCAATTTGAAATGTGGAATTCAAGTTCTCTTTTACTTTTTTAACATTAGGGACATTGTACAGATAGCCCAGGGCTCACAGGGATGGAAGTTGGGCCTCCCAGGTCCTTACTGTTTTCTGTGAAAGATGGGGAGCCGCTGCCAGTCTTGGTCGGTGACGCTGGCCTTGACGGACCCCACCCAAGGAGTCTGATTCGGCAGCAGGCAGCAGCTTCATGGGATCATGTGCTGTTGATGTACATTTTCAGAAGGGCTGTGGCAGCATGTTTTGATTGGAGCAAGTGAGCCAAATGGACACCAGGATCAGCCACAAACAAGGATCGCCAGTTGGCAGCTGATGGCGTGGATCAGGCCTGCTGGGCAGTTTTCTCTGCTTGCATGGGTTCAATCTGGGGGGGGGGGAGGAAGGCGGTACCTGCCAGTTTTTGTAAGGCCTCACTGCAGCAACTGTCACCTTTTCTTTTCCATGGGTGTTTCTGTGATTTCTTTCCTTCATTATGCTTTCCAAAATAAACAATATTTATAATAGCAACTTTTAATTTTAAAAACGTTGCCTGATTTATAAAGTTACCCTTGATTAATCAGACAGAAATTATTTCATCAATTAATCCGATTAACTAAACAGTGTAGCCCTAACAGGGTCTAAATTGGTGATGACCCTGCTTTTGTTGTGTTTGCACGTGTGGCTGCAGCAATTAGTGGTGCTGTTTCAGGAACCCTCACCCAATCCCCCCCCCCCAACCCCCTTCCTTTTCCTCCAGGATTTGGCTTCTGGCCCCCAGAAATATGCCAAAGCTTCCCTGCATTAGGGCTGCCTGGTTTGGGGGGCTCCTTTCTACTGCCGGCCAGCTGGCCAGAGGGAGGAAATCCCCCCCCAATAGCAGTGTTGCCCCAAAGTTGCGCAGGCACGCCAGTGACGTTGGGGGACAGCACTCTGGTTCTTGGGCAAAACTCCATGGTTTGAGAGTGATTCTACCATAGCGTTGCCCCCGACGTGCCTATGTCACTCCTGGGTGAGGTGGGCCTGGTGCGCAATGCCACTTGTGGCAACATCGGCACGTCAGGGGCAGCACTTCCAGCTCCCGGAATGCCCCCCAAACCCCCCCCCCCACACCCATCATCTCCAGTGGACCCGGCAGCCTCACCTGCAGGGGTTCCCCCTCCCCCTAATTTTAGCAGGTTTCTCTTCCTTCAAATCTCTCTCCTAAATGGGAATCTCCAAATTTACCTCAAAGGTTGAACTTTGATGGCACTTCGGGAGGAAACCTACTATTCAAATTAAAGTAAAAAAAGTGAACTGTCTTCTACATCGGAGGAATTTCAAGGGAAACTAAAAAAGTTAGTATAAGACTTGTGCACACCCCTAGAAGAGGGGTGCCTGCTAGAGTCCGAAATGAGCTTCTCTCAAGGCCCGCTGAGTCCAAAGCCAGCCACTCTGCTTGGGGCTCCCCACTGTCAGTCAGCCCCGCCCAAGGAAAGCCTTTGCAGCAGCGAGCACCTGCAAACAGGCACTGTCCAGTTAGGCCGCCAGGCTCTTCTAGGTTCTGGTCCCCCTCTTTGTCTGTCGTCTTGCCTCTTCTTCTTGCCAAGACTTGGTCAGTCATACTGAACTCACAAGGAGAAAAAGGGGGCGTATCCAGGCATCTGGTTGGCATACTCTTCCTTCCCTATGTGTTGTCTTGTTGCCCGGGTGATTGTGAATCTCCGCAATTTATTTGCAGCCTGTTCTGTGCCCCTCAGCCTGGTTCTTGTGAAAGTGGCAGCTGTCTTATCAGGGTGGGAGCTTCCCTCTGAGGAGAGTAGGGGACCAAGCAGCTGACAGCACTTAGAGGTCTCCTTTCAGTCTCTTTGTGGAAAAGACCCTGCTCTTTCCAAAAGATGGCACCGCAGTTGTGGGAAATCATGCCAGAGAAGACTGGGCAGGGCTGCAGGCACCTTGTGTTGTAATCTAGGTAAAGGTAAAGGTTCCCCTTGCTCAAAAACTAGTCAAATGTGACTCTAGGGGGTGGTGCTCATCTCCATTTCCAAGCAGAAGAGCCAGCGCTGCCCGAAGACATTTCCGTGGTCATGTGGCCAGCAGGACTAAATGCCAAGGTGCACAGAACACTGTGTTGTAATCTACCCCAGGCTTTAGTTTGTTTCCAAAGGTCTTCTTAGTTCTAACTGATGGTTAGTCAGCAGCTTGTGAATCAAGAACAGTCCTCTTGTGGATCAAAAACTGGCTAATGAATAGGAAACAGAGAGTGAGTATAAATGGGAAATTTTCTCAGTGGAGGGTGGTAAGCAGTGGGGTACCACAGGGATCAGTACTCAGTCCTATGCTTTTTAGCTTGTTTACTAATGATTTGGAGTTGGGAGTAAACAGTGAAGTGGCTAAATTTGTGGATGACACGAAGTTGTTCAGGGTGGTGAGAACCAGGGAGGATTGTGAGGCACTCCAAAGGGATCTGTCGAGGATGGGCAAGTGGGCGTCAACGTGGCAAATGGGGTTCAGTATGGCCAAGTGCAAAGTGATGCACATTGGAGACAAAAATCCTAAATATACATTGATGGGGTCCAAATTGGCAGAGACTGACCAAGAGAGACATCTTGGAATCGTAGTAGATAACTCAATGAAAATGTCTAGACAGTGTGCAACTGCAATTTAAAAAAGGCCAACGCTATGCTGGGGATTATTAGGAAGGGAACTGAAAACAAATCAACCAGTATCATAATGCCCCTGTATAAATCGATGGTGCGACCTCATTTTGAGTACTGTGTACAGTTCTGGTCATCACACCTCAAAAAGGATATTATAGCATTGAAAAAAGTGCAGAAAAGGAGAACTAGAATGATCAAAGGATTGAAACACTTTCCCTATGAAGAAAGGTTAAAACGCTTGGGGCTCTTTAAGGGCTGAGGGATGATATGATCGAGGTTTATAAGTTTATGCATGGGATAGAGCAGTTAGAGAAAGAAGTACTTTTCTCCCTTTCTCACAATACAAGAACTCGTGGGCACTCCATGAAATTGCTGAGCAATCGGGTTAGAACAGATGAAAGGAAGTACTTCTTCACCCAAAGAGTGATTAACACATGGAATTCACTGCCACAGGAGGTGGTGGCAGCTACAAGCATGGACAAGCTTCAAGAGGGAATTAGATAAGCATATGGAGCAGAAGTCCATCAGTAGCCACAAGGTATAGATAGGAACTTGCAGGCTGGGGCAGGTGATGCACTCTATTCTTGGTGCCGGGGGGGGCAACAGTGGGAGGGCTCCTAGTGTCCTGGCCCCACTGGTGGACCTCCTGATGGCATCTGGTATTTTTGGCCACTGTGTGACCCAGAGTGTTGGACTGGATGGGCCATTGGCCTGATCCAGCATTGGCTTCTCTTATGTTCTTATGTTCTTCTCTCCTGAATGGGATAATCATGCTTGCAGATTTCTGTGACTATATTTTTATCTCTATGCTTTATTTAGTGGTATTTTCTCCAACTTTAGATTTTGTACAATATGTAGAAATGTGGTCTAGAAGCTGGCTATTTGAGCACCTGAGTCTGTGGAAGACACCTCCTTAGAGCTCAAGTGTGTCGAGAAATGTCTTCTGTAACGAGGCAAAAGGCTTTGGGAAGGGGGTCCCCCTGCCACATACCTTTCCTTAGCCCAGGTTGCTGGGCTGAATTCTCTGCTCTCTCCTCGTTCTTCTCTCCGTCCCACGCAGCTCTCCTACGTCGATTCGGAGGGCAACCCCATTGGAGTGGTGCAGATGACGTTCCTGAGGCTCTTGAGTGCTTCTGCCCACCAGAACGTCACCTACAGCTGCTTCCAGTCAGTGGCGTGGCGTGACGACTCCACAGGCAACCACGACAGGGCCATCCGCTTCCTGGGCTCCAACGACGAAGAGATGTCCTATGACAACAACCCCTTCATCAGGGCTGTCGTCGATGGCTGCGCGGTGAGTGTCCTCACAAAGGCTGGCCTCTGCCATGCAGTGGTAAAAACCCATTGCGGGAATCCAGTCCACAGCTCCGTGGCAGAGCACAGGCTTTGCATGCAGAAGGCCCCGTGTCCAGGCCACCAGTCAGAGCAGGCACTCCCGGGCCAGAGGCACAGATGGCCTGATCCAGCCTAAGGCAGCTTCATGCCGTCTTCGTCATTCTGTTGGGAGGGATCCTCACTCAGTGGTAGGATGTCCGTCCATCCATCCCCCCCGCAGTCCACAGTATCTGAGGCAGCAGATGCTCGTGCGATGTGGGGGCCATCTGCCCCACTCCCAAGTGCAGAGAGAGAAGAACTGCTCAGGAGTCTTAACTTCTCACCATGCCTCCATGGAGTCTTGAGTACTGGATGATCAGACATGCTCTTAGTAATTGCCCTTCCCCAGTTTTGTACTCAGTCTTGGTGAAATAAGAGCAGGCATTGCAAAGAGTGACTCCCCCTCACTTCGACTACCGAGGAGGAGGGTCAGTCAGGACCTCCCACTTCCCTCTCATCCAGAAGCAGCAGCCAAGGAGCTGAATCTCTACTTTCGGACGGGATGCAGGTGGAGGGGGGGATGGCAGGGAGGGAGGGAGGCAGAGGTGGCCTCTGCCACCGCCGCTACAGCAGGTCCAGTCCTTGGACGGACCACAGGTCATCTGTGGGCTGCTCTGTACACATCAAGAGAGCCTTTTGTCATTCATACTCCAACAAATGGTGCATTTATGAGATATAAATGATTTCATAAAGAAAAGCCACCACTCACTGGTAGAAGAAAAAGCAGTCATTTAATAGTCCATGTCTCTTTGGCGTGTTCATACATCAGAACCAACATAACCTTTTAAAGAGCTCAGCGAGGGTGTGGCTCTTCACGACCAGCTCTGCCGATCAAAGGCTCCTGTGAGGCCAAAGTTGTGCTCCTGCAGAGGAAGCTCCCTGCTGCTTCTCTGCATGACCCACCCCTTTGGGGGCTGGCCTCCTTCAAGAAGCAGAGATTCATTCCGAGGAGGGGGAGGAGGAAAGGCTCTTAGTCTTCCTTCTTCCTCTTGCACTCTCAGGCACAGAAATTCACTGGGATTCCAGTTCTGATTCAGAGGAAACACGGGCTGCATCTTCGCATGGTAGTCCTTGCCTCAAAGCCTGCAGCCCACCTAAAGGTGCACCTTCTAGAAGCAAACTTTGCTGCAAAATGGCCTGCCTGGTAGCCAACAACTGTGCAGATTCAGGTGGGGGGCTGATGCAGGGTGCTGGCTGGCTATGAGTTATCTGTGGATGTAGCCATGTCACTTACCATAGAGGCATAGAATCATAGAGTTGGAAGGGACCCCCAGCGTCTTCTAGTCCAACCCCCTGCACAAGGTAGGAAATTCACAAACGCCTCTCCCTCCACACTCCCAGTGACCGCTGTTTCATGCCCAGAAGATGACAAAAAACCTCCAGGATCCCTGGCCAAACTGGCCTGGAGAAAAAATGCTTCCAGACCCCAAAGTGGCAATCAGCATTTCCCTGGTCTTGTAAAAAAGGGCCATGTTTGGGTCCACTGAGCTGAACACCCTTCCTCGGTTTGTTGCAGTAGAGGTTCCTCTCATGGGATCCACATATCAAAAGGCCAGCGTAAAGCAAAAACACTTAAGCATGAATCTACTCTTTTGTTGTCCTGAGTCCCTACAAGTACTTCCTTTTAACTCTAGCATTTATTTATCTTTCTGAAATGGTGGCTTGGGCAATGCTCATGATTCAAAGATTGAAAAGTATGCAGATGGAGAGTGATTTCAGCTAAGCATATCTTTATTTAGTTCAGAACAAAGACAACTGGCCGGCTCACAGGCCGGCTTATATTCATTCAGAAAACCCGCCACCAACTCACCTAAACACACACACCCCCCTCCTGATAGGCTATTTACAGTAACCGAGAGACCTATTGGCCTTCCAGCTGGGACCTAGCCCTGTCATTGGGCCTGGCTAGGATCCTAGTGGTCCTTTGTCTTGCGGCATGAAGCTATGAAGGTTTGAGCCTGGCCAGCCCGGGCAAGTCCGGGCATGTCAGGCTGAATACATTACAAAGATAAAACTGGCAACTATATTTTGTAGATTCCATAAAATTTCCCATTCGCTTTTCTATCCTCCCCTGCCTTTTTCAACGGAGCTTCCAAGCAAGCCTCATAAAATTCCAATTAACAAGCACTTCCGTATTCTCCCGCATTTTTGCATTCATGCTGAAATAAGACAGTCATTCTGCAGGCACACTAGTTTTTCCTG